CCGGGCTGGGAGCTGGCGTCGGCGGCCCAGCTCTGGGGGGAGAAGCGCTCGGCGCCCAGCACCTCCACCAGCGCGCGCTCCAGGCCGCAGTAGTTAAAGAAGCGCTCCTTCTCCGACAGCGGCAGCGAGCACGTGGGGCACAGCGCCCGCTTCGCCGTCGCTTCCGGGGCGTCGCGGGGCGCAGCCCAGCCCCCAGGGACCGCGGGGCGCTCTGCCGAGGCCGGGCTGCTGGCGGTGGCGCCTGGGGAGGCGCCCAGGAAAAGGCGTCGCACGAGTCCCTGGCCCTTGGCGTTCTCTTTGTTTACCGACGTCTTGCAGTCTCGCTTCTGGCGGTAGAAGATGAGAGAGTCAGGCCTTGGCAGCCTCCGGCCGCTGCCCCGCCGAACGGGTCTGGGCATCCTGGGTGATGCGGAGGATCCCAGCTCATTGCAGGGATGCGGGGTGAGGGGACCAGGTGTGCCCCGCAGGGCTGGCTCCTGGCGCCGCGCTATCACTTGATGGGTCTTGACATACTTGGCTTTGTCTGCTTCCAGCCTCTCCACGGCGCTGGGGGTCCGTCCCCTGGACAGGGTGGAGGGAGAAGCTAGAAGCATCTTAGTCGAGCGGGGCTAGACCGTACTTCCCATAAGCCACTGGCAGACGGCTGGCCCCGGCGGCGCTGAGAGCTGGGGTTTCTTAGAGCCTGCAGGGAGAAAGGAAGGTTTCCAGAGGGCAGGCCTTCCTGGGGCTGGGCTGGCCAGCCCCCTCCCGCATCCAAGAAAGCAGGCCTCCTGCCCAAGGGTCAGAGATTCAGGCTTCCCCTCCTTTTCCTCAGAACTATCCCATAGGACCTCCCTGGCTGCCCAGAAACATAGGCAACTCTGAGGGTGCCCCAATCTAGCCACAGGACCATGCCAAGCAGGCGTCGGCAATCAGGACACTTAGACAAGGAAGTGGGGCAGGTCCCAGCCCCATTCCCGAAAGTGGCCTCAACCGGAAAAAATACCTCTTCCCAGCCCAGCAGCTTTGAGTCGGAGACAAGGAGGCTCCAGAGCCACTGGCTAGCTCTGGCTGGGCCCACCCTTCCCGCCCCCCAAGCACAGAGGTCAGGGATATAACCACAGGGTAGGAGCCTCCTGTAATTGCAGCAAAGGCCCAGCCAAGGCCTGGCAGGGCCACTTGGGAAGGAGAGGGAAGTGGTCACCAGGTCATGGCAGCCAGCCCGCCAACCACTCTGTGCCCTTGTCAAGCAAATTCTCAAAGGGTCCGCTGTTACCATCAATGTCTAACCTCTGTGAAACTAACTCAGCGAAGAGGGGGCTTGCTCCAGTGGGACTGAGGCAAGACTCTTGTTGGTCTCTCCCTCTGAGAGTTTGCTTCTACTCCTGCTGATAGATTCTGCTAGAAGTGGGTCCCTCGCCTTACCACAAAGTTTCTACTATCAATTCTTCCCAATAATTTGCATGCCCAGAAATCACCCTCAGAGACCCTGCCCCCTTCTCCGGACACCTTTTGACCCTCCACTGGCTCCCTTTTCCTGGGGAAGGGGCCAGGTTGTAAATCAAGAGCTGACAGGTCTGGTTGGCTGTAATAGAATGGGCCACCCACAGGGCTAAGTCCCCACCACCCGCCCCTCACAGAGTCCAGCAGCGGAGGGACACTTCAGTCCTAGGAGCTGAGGGGGCCTTGGGTCTGGTCACAACAAAGGAAGACTATCTTTTGGGGTGGGGGAAGGGAGCCCCGTGGTGGGAGGCCTGGGGGTAGACACCCTGCCTATTCTGTTCACTCCAGCCCAACCTGTTTAGCTCTCCTGGCTCTCTATCTGGTGGGAGCAGCCTCTAGTCAATTCCAGCCCTGTGTGTGCAGAAGAGAGCCGCTTTGTGGGGTTTGCGGGACTGTGAGCTTTCAGAAGTGGATCGCCAGGTCTGTCTCCCAGGGTGTCTGGTTGGTTTGTACCCACCAGACTTTCAGCTGATGGTCAGTATTTAACCACTATGCCACCGTGACCCCCTTGGTAGTTGGTGACTCAGAACCCAGCTAGCCAAGGTTGCCTGGAAGTGCCCCATCCTCCCTCGGCCTCCCCAGGACTGTACTAGGCAAGGAGTCAGTTTCCCAGGTTCCAGGGGAGCCCTGCACTCGTCTGACCTCTGAGCAGCCCGTTCCCTCCTCTCCCTTGCTGAGCAGTGAGGCTATAAAAAGCCCCTAAACATAGGGACCAAAATAGCCCACTGCACCCTGCCTGCTTTCTGGGCTGGCCGCAACGCCCGACCACAGGCGGCCACCCTCAGACCTGCAGAGCCCTCCTTGGCCCGCTATTCTTCGCCCACCTTTGCCAAGGCTTGGGGTCACCAGTGGGAGTGCCTTTGGGAGGTGGGCTGTCTTCTGTGCTCACTGACTGGGCCCCAGAGGGATCCTCTCTCACGCCAGTGGCCCCCTCCCTCCCCCGGCCCCTGCTCAGCATACACTCACCTCTGCTGTGGGGGATGGAATTGCCGGAGTCCCCAGGCAGGTCCCAACTAAGACCAGGAAGGACAGCGAGAACTGGAAGTAACTTTGGTGGCAGCCAAACCTCACTCTCCACAGGAAAAGCCCAGCGAGCCTCCACTCCCCCAGATTAACCCTCGCCTTCCTGACCCAGTGCCTGGCCTCCATTAACTCCTTCCTGATCACAGGCTCAGCTCTCAGGGCTGGACAGGACCTGGGGACCAGGTCCAGCTCCTCCCGTATTTCACAGATGGTCAAACTGGCCCTAGCAAATGATTGGCCACGGAGGCACACTGATCTTGGGGCACAGCCAGGACCCCAAACAGTCTCCTGAGTCCCAGTCTTCCTGAACAGACCCTGTCAGCGGGCTCTACCTGACCTTGGCAGAAGCTGCCACGAGTTGAACGGGCAGGGAGATCCAGGTTCAGGCTGCCTCGCTTTCCTTCCGCACAGCTAGCAGGTCTGGCCTTGTCCGCATCAGGGGTGTGGATGGTGTCAAGCCTGCTCTCCCTTGGCCTCGGCCAGCAACCTGCAGCCTGCAGGCAGTGGTGCTGCAGATGTGCAGCTGGACCTGTCCCAGCAAGTCAGGGCACACAATGTCCATCCAGCCCTTCGGGGGTGCTTCTGGCCAAGGTTTCTCTGATGGAAAGATTGACTGGGAAGAGGGGACAGAGGAGATGATTGTGGGGTCTGATGGCAGTGAGTGGAGAGCTGGCGGGCACCCTTTCTCATCTGACACCTCTTCTCTGAAGGTGAACCCCTGCCCCCACAATGCCCCACGAAGGAAGTTCCTCCCCCTCCTCTGTGGTAACCTCCCCAGCACCCAGAGCTCCCAGACCACTGGACCACAGAAGTGCCAAGCCCAGCAGGCCACTTGCCTTCTAGCATTTACTAAGATTTGCAAAGCACTTTCACATCTGTGCTCTCTACTCTCTGACCTCCTTTGATCTTCTCTAGCCCCTCAGATAAGGGGCCCCAGGAAGGACCAGCCCCAAGTCCTGAGTCAGAAAGCGACATCAGAGAGGAGAGAGACTTGCCCAAAGCCCAGCTCTAAGTCCACTCTTATGCCGCGCCCCTTAGCCAGTTAAGTGAGATGATGAGTTTGAAGACCCTAAGGCCTAGGAATCTTCAGGTAAGAAAATTTTATGGCCTTGTTTAAGAAACCTTTTTGATTTGCTTTTGTCGGAGATAATTCCATATTGGTTTGTCACAGCACTTGACAACGCTGTGTCCTCTGATTTAAAGGAGAATCCTTGGGGACAACGCACTATTATTTTGTCCATTTTACAGCTAGGGAGAGCAAGACTCAGAGATGGAACAACGGTGCACCCAGGCTCACACGATGAAGACTAGGAACTTTTATTGAGAGATTGTGCTAGATGCTTCTCTAAGCATCTGTACGCGTTGAATAGTGTATTGATCTTCACTACAATTCAAGGAAGTGGGTATTTTTAGTTGCCTAATTTTATTCTCCTTTACCTCAAATGTGGGGTATGGGCCGGTCGCCCTGAGATCTGGTCGTGAATGGGTTAAGCACTGGGAGGCTGGGCCCAGCTGGGATGCTGTCCATGGCAGGAAACCTGGCCTGGGAAGGGGGAGGATGGGGCTGTTGTGTCCGACGACGACATGCAACCCCCATCCCTTTGGTCTTAAAGGGGAGCAATTGGGATGGATGAAAGGAGGGCAGGGGCCCAACTCCCCACCTAGAGACCAGATGGCGGCCTGTGGGGAGAGGGGCTTTAGGGAAGAGAAGCACAGGTAAAAGGAGCCACAGAAGTGAACCTGCTCTGAGGAGGGGTCTCCAGACTCTATCCTATCCTGGGGAGCCCTCAATCAGAAGCGATGCTACCCTTTCAGATGGAGTGGAAGACGCAGCCTTAGCCTGAAGGTCCCCAATCAGAGGGAGTGACATAGCTGTGTCCCTTAGAAGTTCCGTGTGTGTGTGTGTGTGTGTGTGTGTGTGTGTGTGTGTGTGTGTGTCTATGTGTGTGATACGAGTCTGCTCCCAGGATCCCCGCAGTCTGGGTGGAGTTGATGAATAGCTCCCAGTCACAGTGGACACCATGTCCAGGGCGCTGAGCACTGCGGCGGAGGCTCTAGGAGGAAGGCAGAGCAGAGGGGTCACATGGGAAAGGCTCTCTGGGTGAGGGGCTCTGAAAGAATAAGAGGGTTTCAGAGAAGAGGAAGAGGTGGGGCTACATCTGCCTGGCCCTGCCTCTGTGTGGTCTGCTCTCTTCCTGGTCCTGAGTCCCCCGGGAGAACCTTAAAGTGGCTTCTTCCGGAGAGGGAGGTGGCTAGTCTGAGGGACGCTTCCTTCCTCTTCTGGGACCTCATTCCCGGATCACCTTGAGGATTGATCAGGAATGGGCTCGAGTCAGAGCCAACTCTTTCCAGGAGAGGGTGACCCTGACGAGCAGAAAGTATGAGTGAGATAGGCTAGGCAGGGGGCCCCTTCAGATCCAGCCTCTGAGGCCGGCTCACGTGGTCACTGAGGGAAAAGTTTGTCACCTCCTTCACCCCAGCGACCACCGCCCCCTAGTCCTCAGCTCTCCAGACCACAGCCCTGTCTTTGCTTCCAGTCCTGGTCCACCACTCGCTGGCTGGGCGGCCTTGAGCAAGAACTTCTCTTCGTCTCTTCCTTTCCCTCTTGCGTGGTGTGCAGTGTGAGGTGCGGACCCCAACAGGTGACAGTCAGAGGGGGTGACAACAAAATGACTGTCTATAAAAACGTTTGGGTAATTCTTCAGCAGAAATGTATTATTTTTCGTAAGAATTTCCCTCTCATTAGTTAAAACTTCAAACCGTTCAATGCTAATTTGCTTTGTGAACCCTCTAACGCGCTCTGGCCAGGGGCGCCTGATTACGCAGTCCTGATCCCGTGGTTGTATCTGCATCGGCACAAGCCTGCGCTGTTCTTTTCCTTGCTGCTGGCACTTTTAACGTCACCAGTTTTGTCAAATTTTCTGTTTTAGCTATAATCTTGGTAACTATTTGTGAACCTATTCCAGTAACATTTGGGGAC